CAGAGTAGAATATGATTTTTGTCCTAGCCCTCTGGACATCTTTCACTATGTCTATGGGGTCTTTTCTAAGAAGTAGCTTGTAACAGTACGTTTCATGTAGCCAGCTGCGTTCAAGCGCCGTTGCGAAATCTGATCCTTCAGCAGGCACTCCAAGGATGTAATAATATTAAATTAGAATTCCAAGGGAACTATATGCCATGTCGAAATCATTCCCAATCCAATTTCCATAGAAGAGATTATTAAGGAACACTTGAACGTCGATGGCATAGGGTAGAGCTCGATCTTGTTGCAGTATTGCTGATTTTTCTAGTCTTGTCAAATGCAGTTGCCGAATGAACCAGTCTTGAAACATGGAGACATATGCGTTCTGTTTGACAACTTTTTCAAAGAAATATAAATTAATCAAAAAACTAGCCACATTGTCTGCCCACAAAATAATACAAAATGATGTGTGGCAGATGTTGTTGAATTGCTTGTTGCTCTCTGTGTGCTTTTGTGACTCATCTTAATAATTAGTTGCGCAGTTTCGCCCTAATTTTGAAGGAGATGGTTCCGGAGGACAGGTCCGAAAGTTTCTCACTCCTCTTCACACCAACAATCTCTTGAGAGGACCTTTGGCTCGGTGTATATTGTCAGTTCTCTCATGCCACATACAGACACTAAAATTTACAAACATTAATTTTTTTCTAAGAGATTTTAACCCTGGCCCTTCGGTACGGCAATCAGCGTCACTTTTCGTTCTGGACTAATTTTCTTCATAATAATGAGAACGTTGAATTTCTTCGTAATAATGAGTTTTCTTTAAAGCAAAACAAAACATTTCTGCTAAGGATATTGAAATTCATTTAAAATGAAAATGCTATTCCTTGCCTGAACAATTTCAAATGGTTGGAAGAGGAACGTGCAAGCAATTTTTCAAGAGGGTATGGTTAAATGGTTCAGTACAAATCTATTTTCTTTACGTTTTGCAGTTTCAATCATGAAATCATCAGCTTATCTGATTTCTTTCATTAAGATTTTTCTGAAAATTTACTGCATGATGTCTGGACTACGCCTACATGCTGTTCTCCTCTAACATATCTGCCACCAGACTGCAACACAGACGCTTCCTGCATTTAAATTTCCTTTTCCGGGAGAAAAGGATAAAATAATATCAGGTTTAGGAGCAGAATCATTGAATCTTTGCGAAAACCGTTTCTAGTTATTTTCTGTGCTTTTTCTTTCGCTATCGTGCACCTAATTATTGGTCGACTTGTGTGTTATAGACATTTGTACCAATCATCCTGTACCTCACCAACCACTCTGAAATCAACAGAAACAGAGAATAAAAAATAAATTTAGGCAAGAAACAGAGACAGATAATCCGTAACCGATGTTAACATCAGGCATCCTATTCATCAGAAGAGACAGTACGATGTATTAAGACTATCATGTTCCCCTTCAAGCTGAAATAGTAATAAAAGATGTGCTATAATTGGATCTGATTTCCAGCGAAGGTTTTTTTTAATATACTGCACTCAATACTCTTTGTATTATTTTAATCAATGAAAAATAAAAAAATAAAAGAAATAAAATAACAGAGACTTAATGGTAGTCAAACTCAAAGTCGATCGCTATAAGCCGAATTACTCTTATTTGGATTCCACGGAATTGAAGTTTTTTCATATTTGTGACACACACTAAAAATAATGAGAAATTAGCCGACAGGTTATTAAAAAAAAGATAAAATTTGAAAATTTTATCTACTCAAATAGTCTAATTCCTTCAGAAGTACAAATTATTTTAATTGACGCTATTTAGTTCGCAGAGAAATGGAAGATAAATAAATTAAAACAAACCTAAGTGTTTTTCCCTATACTTTTCGCTCTGTTTCCTTCTCTCTGTCTTTGTATTATTTTATATTTCATGCTCTAGGAAATAAGATCTCGGTGAGAAAAAACGAAAATTCGAAATCTAATCATCTACTGAAAACTGTTAAAGAAAACGCAATTTTTTTACATTCTTTCAATTACCTACGAAGAATAAAGAAAGAAAATAAACCGAAATTTTCCCCTTAGGATAAGAATACATTATTTTACTAGTCACGAAAGAGAAGTCCTTTCACACACGATATTTCTCATCATGATAATTATTCTTATCTTTGTCTAATTTGTTAACACGAAAGAAATTGGACAACATGATTATATTTTAATTAAATTCTTCCATTCTTATACATGCAGTTTTTAAAAGCTTATTTTAATATTATAGAATGTAAAGGAAAAATTAAGAAAGCTGAATAAAAATCGGGGTAACAGGAGCGTAATCTGTGACTATTAAATAAGCATTGGGTACCTTCAGGTTTCCCTTTATTTTGCGTTTTAATGATTCTTGCTTCTTGAATGATTCTAAAATCGTTGTTTCAACTTTAAAAAAATATAACATGTCCTTATTTGATTCTTGATTCCCCTTATGCATTCTACAGTACATTTGTATTAATTTTAGAAACTTTTAACGTTTCAGTTCAACAAACCTAACTTTTTTATGACATATAATTAGATCCTCTCAGAAATTTTTAACAATGTTTTGCCACCAAACTTATTTTCAGAAATTTTGGTCCGTCCATGGATATGCTGAACTAAATTTGTTTTTCACATTTTTTCTTCGAGTTCTGCATACAGAACTCTAAGAACAAGTACTGCATACAGAACTCTAAGAACAAGTACTGCATACAGAGCTCGAAGAATTGTTAGCGCTGCCGGTCCCTAATTACGTGTGGGGAGGGTACCTAGGCGAGTTACCCTCCCCACACCTAATTAGGGATCGGCAGCGCTAACAATACATCTCTGGGGGCTTCCGGCCAAACGTACCCGTCGGGCAACCGAGCTGTCGGGGATCTACCCGTTGGACTATTGAGTTGTTGGACAATAGAGTGTGTGGTGTCCTAATGTGTCTTTCTCAACAGTTCAAGCCACCTCAAGGAGTGCTTGATAAATCAATGACATTCTACGACAAATCACATTTTGGTATGGGCAGCTTCTCCCAGGGGTAAATTTTTCAGCAGTGGAATGTCACTTCTCATACTGCTGTAGCAACGCAAACATTTTTTCGCAGATAAAAATGTACCTCTTCTTCCTTGGCCTGTTAGATAAGTTGATTTACACAGCATTCAAAATGTGCGGACTATGGTCAAATAAAGGGATATTGTATGATAATCACAAACATTTACTGTGTGTAAATAGCTTTCTATAAAATGTAAATTATTTCTGGGCCTATGTTAATACAGCTTTGGGGACTATTAATTCAACACCACTGTGCATACAGAAGACAATACAAGCTAAAGATGGGCACACAAAACGCTAACTATATCGGAGTTCATAATGTAAATTGCTTTGAAATGCTGGTCATTTGTTCCGTATTGCCTATTTAACAAACCTTGGAAAAATCAAAACTGTAGCCACATTCCTTCTGTGCATGTTGTTTTTTTAAGAACAGAAGTGCATCTGATGGTCTTCGTCAAGTAAGACAGGCGACAGGTGAATGCAGGGCCCGGACACCCGGACGGCTTAATATGACAAATCGGGTGTCGTCCGGTACCCGCACCTATTTAGAACAACACAACCCTGGCGACTTCCTGAGAGGGCTGAATCGGGAATATATTAATGGAGAATATGTGGTATTGACGTGGCCAAACAAGGGCGTGTGCATATATATGCTTCAGTATACAATTAATAAAAAGTTTCATACACAGGTAGATTGGTGGTATAGGTACATTGGATACATATGTATATTGGTCTAAGTGGTTAATGAGATAGGCAAACAATAAACACTTATACATTAAAAGAAATGAAACGTTGACGCAACTGGCGCAATAATGCAGAAGATGACAATTATGAATACCGTAATCGTGTGTCATCCTATATGACTATACATAAACTACTAGAAATTATATGCATAAACACATACGAATGATGGCGATAAATGAAAACACATAATCATACATTATTCTACTGGACTATACACACATCAATAAAAATGATACATACACGCATATACGTTGACAGAAATGATACTCTGAAAATGAAAATTGTGTATCAGTGTGCACGATGACAATTAATGGTTACACATATTCGTGTATTACCTTACTTGGCTATACATATATATTAGTACAAATGATACACTTAAACACTTATACATTAATGGAAATGAAATACTGAAAATGGCACTTATACATTATACGATAGATGAAAACCAAGGTCAAGTTAGACAGCGATTATCAAAGGTACGAATATTACAATTTTCAGCCCTGATATTTGTTTATTTGTAAAAATATGCTGGTTGCTTTTAGAGGTGGCCTTATGTGGGAGATGATTGTCGAAAGAGAGTTTTCTGGAATAGGCTTATATCCACGACGGCTTGATTATAAAAAGAGGAAAAGTATGGAGTAAGAGAATTCAATACATTATTTCAAAATTTGTAACGTATTTTCCAGACGGCAATATTATGTAATTTACCAAAGCAACAAACGTATTTTCCTCATTTTCAGTGGCAACAATTCCGTTGACAAAATATTTGCAGTTTGAGTTTCATTTTTAATAATAAATTTCCACAACATATCCATTTATAATCTTCAAATATCATCACGTAAAAATAAAGCATAAAAACGAAATCATAATTATGATTGCAACAAAACCATGATGGATTGAAAATGATGCTGAATTCCCTGTATTAAAAATGAAATTTTAATAGGCATATTTTCTCTATTTAAAAATGCATTTTTGCAAGTTTGCCTTTCTGATAAAAAGATATGATCTTTGCAGGCATTATATGTATATGAGCGTGAGTAATCTGTGAAATTTACCCAACACTTTCTTGAAGATTTAGTAATAATATTACTATTATTATATCCATCCATTTTGTATTATTTCAAATTGATTATACGTTATGCTGTTGATAATAATCACATTTATGTTTCATTATTAATTTTTATTGTGGCAACCCTTCTTTGTGTAAATTAAACTTTAATATAAATCTGTGAAAGATGTTTATTCTGTATGAATTGCAACCGATACTAAACGTATAGTTAGAATCTAGTGATCAGTTGAACTTACTAACAATGTTTCTTCTCACTAAAGCAAAGTTGTGCATAGCATTTCTGCTGGCATCGGTGTGGATAGCTAGAACTGCATCCGTGTACAATTTATACTTCATGGTGGATATCTGTCTTGATAATGTAACTTCAATTATACTTGGTCAAGCGTTTAATTCAACTGGCATGATGAAAGCTTTTAGAAATGAATGGGAACAAGGTCCTAAGAACTGTACTATATCTTTGATTGCTCAAAAGCATGATGGAATTGTTATTAATGTTCAGTCTTTAAACTTTCAAGAAGGCTGCGAGAAGAACAAGTACTTACAATTCACCGATGGCGATGAAACAGTGAAACTCTGTGAATCGCATAACAGATCAATAAATAAAAGCGCGCTTACTTCAATATTTTACAAAAATGCAGTAAATATCAGCTATAACACAGGAGATGGAGATGCACGACCTGAATTTAGGTTTGTATTTACTGCATTTAAAAAAGGTCCATGTACTGACAGATACTCGTTCAGATGCTCTCTGGGCACGTGCATTTATAAGCAATTAGTATGTGACTCTAGAAACAACTGTGGTGACAATTCTGATGAGGAGATAGAAACGTTTATGTCTCGCTGTATGATGGTTAGGCAATCAACCTGGATGTGGTTGGCAATGGTCATGTTTCTGCCTTTCGTTTTGGTCGGCTGTGCGTTAGGTATGTGCGTTTTTCTTAAAAGAAGGAAGACAATGCGTTTTCATCATATAGGTTCGGTGCACAGACAATCAAGAACTTGTCATGAAGTTAGTTCTCCGTCGCTTTTGCAGTCTTCGCAAACAGCACCCCTAACGCAACAGGAAAAGTCATCTCCAAGTGCACCGTCTTCTTCAAGCTCTAGGGTACCGTTAGATAATAGAAATTCCTTCCAAACCACAATTCATCCAACCTTGCTGATTCCTGTAATTGAAAGCTCTAAATCATTTTAGTAATATCTGTTTTTATAAGTCCATCTAATCTCATTTTATTAATATTTTAGGAAGAAATACTGTTATTCTTTTCAAGTAAAATAATTGTTCTTATATAAGATCAATACAAAATTGCATGTGAAACTTTGAATTATTCGATCAAAATGCAAATTATTTGTTACAATTGCTCTAAAATGTTTGAACTCAAGTTTGTTTCTAAGTCTGCCAACTGTAATTACTCGAGTACTTATCACATTTCTCACAATTATGTGAGAAATTCGTCGACTATAGTGTCCTCCAAAACTGAAGTTAGTATTGAAAATATTTCAAGAACTTTTGTAGACTAAAGGCAAAGTTTGTGAAGCAAATGAATTCATATATTAAGAGAATCCTTATGTAAACCTTTATGATATTTCATACCTTATGTTCTTATATAGGAAATTCTGTGTTAAACTTATTAAAATATGGGATAATGTTTAATGTTCATGAGAAATCTTTAAATAAACTTTACGATATTCCATTCTTTAGCTTCTTATGTAAAGTATTATGTGTTCATCTTGTTAAAATATAAGATAATGTTTAACGCTCCTGAGCAATTATGACTTTTGATAGCATGCTAATTGATCCAGTCAACTCTTTATCTTACGGAGCATTTCCGGGAATGACGTCTAAGGCTAACTTAAAGTCACGAATAATCCAAAGACAGTTAGAAAATACACTAATGTGTAATTTATATTATTATTATTATTAATATAAATTATTATTACTATTATTAATTAACAGAAAAATACTAGTAAAAAATGTCCTGTATTTTCAAGAAATTTAATCTCGACAATAACTTTATTTGGATGCATAATTTTAGAAATATTAAAAAAAAGAGTAATTTTAGAATCATTACACAATAACCTATACTTTTTAGTGAAGCTGATTAATCTGCAGTCCGGTTCAGTTCCCTGAAAATCGAGACTTAAAAAATAACAGCACTTGTAAATATTTTCTGCTAAATATTGCGCATAAACTAAGACATTTTAACATTTTTTAAGGTAGTTATTGAAATTTCTGTGAGATTTCTTTTAAGAAGCTTTATTGTATTTAGTTCTTGGATTAAGAAATCAATGCCGTAATTTGCATCAGGTAATCACGTTGCACTGCTTTAATTAAAAATCTAAGACATCAAAACATACTGTACGTTAAATCACGTTACTTCCTATCCACTGACCTGCTAAGCAAGATGTATATTCGAAAATCAGATTCTGCAGGGTAAAAATATAACAAATATCTTTTTCTTAAAATCTTGGTAGCAATTTATTAAAAAATAGCTGGGATTTTATGCGTTTTTAACATGTGTTAGAAATCCATATGTTTAAATATCATAAAAAGGTTTATCACAGTTACTAACTGGTTAACTAGCCCAATACAAATATGCCAATTCCATCATTAATTTCTTGATAAACGGGAACACGTAAACAGAAAATTAGGAAATGTGAGAATTTATTTTTAAAACGTATTTAATATTCAATACTTTTAGTTTAGATGCATCACTTTTTACAGGAATGTTTCAGTGGCTAGCACTGTTTATGCTTTCTAAGACAATGTACTCAATGTATGCCTACGCTAACGAACTCCAGACAATTTGCCGCATTGCGCTGAGTGATTTTACGTTTTCCGCATACAAAGAAGCAATATTTTAATCATGTTTTCGATGCCACTGCAGCAGTTGTTGGCAGAAAAATCACTGTCTGTGTTCTTTTATTCTGAGAGCACAAAAGTTTTAATGATTCTGTACTCCACCTTTGGCATCACTTCAAAAACTTAATACCGCACGCCATTATTTTTTACTGCAGGGACAATTAAAAGCAAAGGGATTCATGCATAAAAACACTATCTTTTCTTCTCTTTTTTTGAAAATATGTAAAATACGGAACATTTGCTACGATTACTCACACACGCACAAATATATATATAAGGATATATATATATATATATATATATATATGGATATATACATATATATGATATATATAATTAAGTAACAAATAATTAAAAATTTAATGCTTTCTATTAAGAAACAAGAAAAACACACATAGTCATGCAAGAAAGAAATACCCCAATAAAAAATATAACGCAATAAATTCAAGGGTTTTATGAAGTGGAAACTATTTTTTAATTAATTAAATTTAAGATTTAGTTTAATTCGAAATTAAAATTCAGAAAAGTGAAAACTGTGTAATGCAACATTATACTAAGTAAATAAAGGCTGATTTGACGTATTTCGTTATCAAGGATGAACAGTTTATTTCAGATACGTCTTCCTTCATATCATAAATAAAAAAACGTAATGAGGCTATGTTTCTAATTGGATGTAAAGTAGTTCAAAGCGCGAAATTTCAAAAAAATTTAAAAACAAAGCAAATTTTAAAAACAACTAAAAGGTAATAATCTATACTATTCAAATTTGTGCGCATCTGTCTGTTTGCTTGTTTGTGGCATTATCTCCTCCGGAGCGGCGGAGAGTTGAATTTCACGAGAGGAACGCCCACGGATTGCAAAAATTTCGACCATTTTCATCTTCGTGCAACTTTAAATTGCGGAGGTATTAATTAACTCTGAAAACACTAATTTTCGACCTGATTTTTCTGAGTGGCAACAATTTCGCGCGTTGGAGATCAAAATCTGCTTTACTTCGAAAAGTGTTCCCACTGCTTGCTTTCAAAACGTAGAGTTTGTTAATAAAATATTTGTAAGTTTTACAGAATATGACATAATAATTTAAAAAAAGTGTCAGGGCTTTCAGATTATTACATAAAGTCATATTCTGACGTTGAAGAGAGCACTCGATTACATGTTACATCATTGTATGTCGAAAAACCTTTCATTAATATCAGCATTTTAAATAAATAGCTGCTGTTGGCAGCTATTTATTTAAAATGCCTGAAGTGTTTCTATACATTTGCTTTTCAAAGGTACATAGAGCTTATAAATTTTCCTTTGGCCGCTGCCCGCTCATATAGCGGGCTTGCTCGCTAGTTTATATAAAAGACATGCATGGGTACGTGTTTAGCATTTACGTGTTTGTTTGTAATTCCTGTTGCTCATTCAAAATTACTAAATTTAGTACATACTTAATTATATGTTTTGATTATTCCTGCTTTAACGCATAATTAATTTAAAATATTTGGAACTTAAAGACTGAGTTCCTTTATTTTTTTTTATGCTAAAGTGTTTGATTCCTGTAACAGAGCACTGACATTAACTAACAGCATCGAAACCGCTTTTTTAAAAGATAGAAATTTTATTAATAACCGTATTGCTATTGATATCTCACTCTCTTGTACTTATAAACTATCTTGTACTCATAAAAATATATGCAATGGCTATGCAGCTTCTAGAACATATTTCAGAAATTGTTATTTCAAATTTAAATTAAATTTGTGTATGGATTCCGGGGGATACGATTAATTATTGAGAAATGTAAACATTATGGACCTTATAATCATGAATTTTCTTCGAAATTTTTGTTTGGGAAAAGTGATATGAAATACATGACTTCAAGTCAGCATTTCTCAAAATTGGAATGCTGCAGTTCATGTTATGATTCATTTATTCCTTAAGGTATTACTAATCTAAAGACCTTACATAAATCTACTGTTAATAACCTACGGTTTCTTTCTTCTAACCGTCTAACACCATACTGATGGTTCGGGGATGAATTGAACTGTTTTGGCCCAAGGCCGAAGACGTTGGCTTCCGGAGTATCTTAGCAAATAAATGCAATTACTTCCGCAACACCGTTAAGAAAACTCTGAGCGTTATGAATGATTAAAAATGCACCCTAACAATAGTTTTGCATTACAAACAATTTAAGTAGGACCTGTTATAAACAAATTCAAATCAAACATTATCTATGTTTCTACTCGCTGCCTTCCTCATCCACAAGGAAAGGATCAGCATCACCAAAAAGATTTTGAATGATTTCTTTCCTGGCCCATACTGCGAGCTGTGTAGGCATTTGTTAGGGATAATTTTGCATAACTTTTGCAGAAGTTGACCTACACAAATACACTCTTTTGAAAAAAAAATCGAAGCACCAAGAAGCACTTTTGCGATCGTGATGAAATTTGGTATGCAAAACCATATTGACCGAACATGCAAATGATCAAAGTTTCAAGGCAAATGAACAGCGATTGGGATGGTAGCGGTATTTCTAGTGTACAGTTCGCAAAATATAAAAACCGGTAACAGAGACGGAAAATTTATCCTTTTTTTTTTTTCTGCCATTGTGATTCCGTAAAGACGCAACTAAAGATGCCATTACGACGATATCGAAGACCTTACAGACAACTAACCGATTTCGAACGTGGTCCCATTGTAAGGTTGCGTTAAGCTGGGTAGTCATACCGAGCAATAGACCGCCACCTGCAGTGTACAGACATTGCTGTGCAAAGATGTTGGTAGCAATTTGCTACAAGGAAATTGCCGACGAAATGAAGGCTCCGGAAGGCCAAGGAGCACAAACGCGAGGCAAGATAGGATGATTGTTCGCCAGGCCAGAACCGCTCTAACGGTATCATTGTCGACTATTCAACGCACTACAGCCACGTCTATGCCTCCCGTGGTACCATCCACTATCTCACGGCGCTTGTCTGAGGCGGGTTACGCTCACAGAGGCCTTTAAGACGTTTGCCTTTGAACCCACATTACAGTAGTGAACTCGGATGTCCACTACTGTGTTTCTCATTTATGAATCAAGTTCTCAGACTTCTCTTAATAATTTGGTTATAACAGTAATATTAATTTTAAAGGATAAAAAATATTAAACTCATTATCAATAATCTAGGCAGAAGAAAAGTTAAATATAATCGTTTCTTTTTGCAGTGGAAAAAAACAAGTATGCTGACAGAACTACTAGTAGAGTCGCAAATGAATCGGTTTACTCTTTGTGACCATGAAAAGAAATCGAAGGTTCTGAGTTCGCTTAACATGTTTTGACGTTTCGATCTATAAATGTCACTGACTTTTATCACAACTATAATGTCACCAAATTTAATTGTCTTCATTTAAGAGTTTACTAGTTATACTCCAGTTTGGTTCTTTTATAAACTTTAGTACTTAAGCTTACTAAACAGCGCAAGAAATCTTGAGAAAAAAAATAAATGAAAATTTTTAAAAATATGAAGGCTTTCAGATTTTACATTCCGCCCAAAAGGGCGTTTTAACGTTCTGTGTTATTATTTATTTATTAAGTATCACATTCTTCGCATTTAAAAAATAAAATTCAATTTAACAGCAGTATCGCAAAATAATTTCAAAATGAGCATATCTTTAGAATTACCAATAAACAGTCTCGCGCTCTGGAGATAAAAATTATTTTTTTCCGTACAGTGTTGCCATTGCTCTCCTTTAAATCGTTGAGTTCCTTGATCAAAAATTCGTTAAAATTTTATAAAATATGA